TTACCAGTTCTAATTTTGTATCACGTAACGACGGAATGGACCATTTGGTATTTTCCAATTTTACGTATGCAGTAAATAAGGACAAAAACTTGTGGTTCCTAGGTAGTACGATTTGTACTCTCGTTGTGAGTTAGTAGAGGTAATAAGGACCAGTCGAATGGAGAAATTACGCTGTTTTAAAAGTTAGAAAACGGATTATTTTGATTATTTTGGTGACAAAATAAAACCGTAAAAGGTAGTTTACATTTTGTTTAATAACATTTCTGGCTTATCTGTTTTACTTGGTCCATAGAAGGATGAATGAGCTGGTATAATAGAGGGTCATTTGTCTACAGATTTTTGTCTTGTTCTTTTATGTTAGAAGGCTGTTTACTGTTGTTAACGTATTACAGAATAAAGAGAGTATAGACCCATACAGCTGGTATGGTACGTAAATGTTTTAAAAACTAAGTTATGAATCTGACAATAGTATAGTACTGTGCTCTGTTGTAGGTCGAAGTAACTTTTATCAGGAGAGAAGTTTTATGCAGTATAAAATCGAAATTATTACTTGTTTTGTCCGTTCTATAAACACGTTGCTTTTGCAGATAACAGATTGATAAAAAATATTATAATAAATTGATTGTCAGAAATTTATTCTTCTGTTGTTAGTTTCTCATCAATTATTTTGTTATAGTGGATAGAAGAAGGCCCGCTAGGAAATAAATGATTGTTCACTGATAGCAATTCTAACGTTTTGTAGTTCTAATTTTTGGCAGTATTTATTACACTCCTTTTCAATAACGTTGAAATGTTTCTTTTTATTATTTATTTATAACACTGAAGTTGTGGTCCCGTAAGTTTACTAATTATTTGCAAATAATTATTCACTCTCACCCTCACCCAAATGTACCATACTATAACGAAATACCGCAAACGGTTCGCGGAAGAGTCGTGTCATGTTTTTGCTTAAACATCAAATGATAATTAATGCTGTACATGATAATCAGAGAAGTAATTTTTTTGTGGTGTTATACATACATGCACTTGGCATTTTGTGCAGATCCAACGTGATTTTTTAGTACATGTTTCATTTTTACAACGAGTTGCATCAGATGTTGATACGAATTGTGGTAAATGATTTGTTTTATCATAACGTAAAACAGGTGACACAAGCGACGAACTTTGATGTAACTTCTTTTTTGGTGATTTATATTGATCATTATTGTCATCTGAGTTATATGATGATGGTGAACGTATATTTTTAACTATATGAACACTGAGTGGTGTTGAATGAAGATTTGGTCGATGGAGGAGAACTCTAGCAATTTCAGCTTTGAACCGAAAAAGTCTATCACGACGCCAGTTATTAGTAGCAACAATTTTTGCATCTCTATTTCTATATTTATCAGTATGATTCCATAGTATCCATGAATTGATTATCATAAGGTCAAACAATCTCCAAACAATCCTTGCATACCACTTTTTGGAACGAAATGGTATTTGATGCAATGCCACTAACGCACTAAGAATGCGTTATTTCTTACCTATTCTACGCTATCTAGATAGGATTCGACGGAAAATAAAAGAAACGGGAAAAATTTGACTTGGCCGTTTTTGCACCAACCTTAATAAAATGAATATTTCTTCACAGAGAACACTTTTTTTAAAAAAACTCTCTATTGGTTTGTAGCTTATGAGACGGCGAATCTAGTCACGTAAAAACCTTGGGGTCATTACTTAATCCAAAATTCGGTACCGCTTACACATATTTACGCTCGTATTTTTCTTTCTTCTTTCTTATCGACGATGTGTTTTTCTTGAAGCGTGATCGATTTCATCAACAATCAGCGCCCGGCCTCTGCAATAATTCATCGATCAAACCAAGTATTATATCATTCTGATTTTGATTCACAATCTGGTCGAATAATATCTCACTCATGTATTATGAATGGCGGTTTTTCTTATGATCATTGTTACCCTCAAGCATCATCGCAACTTATTCCAGTGCAAAACCGTCACTATTCAAAACTGCCATTAATGAGCAGTAATTTTCCTCAACAAGATTATCAAGTCGTTCCACATATGATGGCCAATTCTCAACTCCGATCCCAATCAACAGGTGCAAACGATTAATAATGTTAGTCATCGAGCAGTTCGATCCTACCTCATTCAATTAATTCAATAATTTCACCATATCAAAATAATAATCAAATTGTGATTCCAATTCAGCAACAACAATATGATCCTTCTTTATCACATTTTCATCAACATAACAACAACAGTATCAAATTACCCATCAAAATGGGGATAAAGGTAATAATGATAATGATTTTATCCCGATTCGCAATAACAAAAAAACGAAGATCTATCATCACACAACTACTGGATTTGAAATTGATTCTTCATCATCGTGCACTGTCCCGCGTCAGGCCACATCAACAAATACAGATAGTGTTATCCATCCGACAGTGTCTCATCTGCGTATATCCAATCGTCGATCAAATAATACTCGTTCAAATGTTATCATCAATGGTGTACCACAACAAGCTCAAAAATTTGCTGAAAGAAGATATGCTTTTCCACCGTTCATTATTAAATTTAATCAAGATGTTATATAAAATGTTATTATTCAAAACCTTGAACCATATTTTAAAAATGTTAATAATATTAAAATCGAATTTGACGGTCACTGTTTGAAATACAAATAAGAATTGTTATTATTTGTTAAAAATTGAGAGTCGTTTGCTGCACTATTTGGTGAAAAACCTTGGCCAGAAACGTTACGCATAATGAAATTTACTCGTTTTACACCAAACCATTTACCTCCACAATTTTCCATCGTTTCATAAATATCAGTTCCAATATTTATTGAGAGTTTTTTCATAAAACTGACTTTTCGTAGGATATTGCTAAAAGACGCGAATATCCGCGATCACCCACGAACACCTCCAAATTAAAATCTGAGTTAGCCAATCGATACAGCCCGTCGAGCTGAGTATAGCAATCCCTAACGAACACTCAAAAAACTTTTTATACTTTCGCTTTGGGAGTGAGGGTGAGGTACTGGTAAGCTCACTCACACCACACCCTCAGCCCAGAATAACCTGAAGATGAATTTAGCGCACTCTTTTGGGTGTTCTTAAGCTTTCTTCTTTGTGTTCGTGGATGTTCATTCAAACTGTACGCTTAAAAAGCGAACGTATAAAAAGCTTTTTGGGTGTTCGTTAGGGATTGCTATACTCAGCTCGACGAGCTCTATCGATTGGCTAACTCAGATTTTAATTTGGGGGTGTTCGGGTCTTTTAGCAATACCCCTTTTCGTACCATGCAATACTGAATACTTCTCTTCCCTTAACAGTGGATAACGCATTGCTGTTTGCCAGCGCGAAGGAACGTGGAAAGTGGTAGAGTCCTGAAAGTTTTCCGAAACTTTCATAAATTCTTAGGACAGGTTTTCGTAGAGGTAGAGTTTCTTCCGTGATTAGTTGACTGTTACAGTCTTGACAGCAAAAGTTCCTGTTTTAAATAAAATTATCGTTTCAAGTTAATCATTGTAAAGTGGAGCCATCTATTAAATTAAACTTTTAGGATTTGCTTTGAGTGATTTTATCATATTAAGGATGACGTCTGACCGTGTCTTAACTGTCTTCTACATATATTCGACAGAAGTGCATTAATGACACCCCTCCCCTCTTCAGAAAGTTTCGGGAAAATATTATTTTACTACTGAGTTTTGGCTAAAATTTGAATAAATATGAAAGATAAAATCTGATATCCGGTACCTGGGGATTTCTCTCTGTATATATACTTGCATAAACTTTCCTTTTACGGGAGATTATTTTTAAACACATACATATAGACTGTACATAAAGTTCATCGCGACGATTCTTTTATTTCAATAAATAGTCGAAAAAATTTAAAAGAGTCGTTTGACACGATACTTCTTTTATTGCTTTTTATCGCGACATGAAATTTATCGCGATAAATGATTTTTTTATCCATTCGTCACTCATTTTTCGAGTATTTAGCGAAAAAAAAAATTCATCGCGGTAAATCATAGCAAATTGTAACACGACATACTTATCGATAGATTTTGCACTAAAATAGATTTCTGCGATGAAAAGTTCGTTACCGCGATGAATTTTTCCTTTCGATAAATACTCGAAAAATGGTTGATGAGTGGATAAAAAAATCATTTATCGCGATAATAAACTTCATGGGTACATTATTCAAACTCATAAAAATAATCATTCCATTTAGAATTTTCTTAATGCAGTGCCGCAGCACCTAGAATTGTGGAGACCTCCTGAATTTTAGCAACCGCGACAGCTTTTGAACTTCAAAATATAACTGCGCGACTGTCGTACAGTAGCTGTGTTATCACAATTTATGTTTTTGATTCAAGACAGAAACAATTACGTTTTGGTGAAAAAGTAAACTCTTCATATCGTTCGCTTCAGGACTTAGTAACATTTAACTAGATAAAAATAAAACTTTATATCTTATGTGTCATGTAATTGAAAGATGCTTAAGCTCGTTGAGTAGTCGGCATTTAGCAAGAGTTATGATAACATAAAACTGCAAGTGGGAAGCAGTCCTTCAGAAACATTTTATATCTAAAAAGATGCTCCAAAGCCTTAACTATCGAATGGCAAAAACTGCAGATCTCTACCGCATTTCATCCTTGAGCTATTCCAAAAACAACCATCTGCCTTATATTTTGGCGGCTATAATAGAACAAAGGATTAGTTCGATTTGGGGTATTTCACCTGGCACAAGCATGGCGCTTCTCAAAAGTGTAAAATTCAAAACTCGAAAATCCGAGTGTTTTTAGAATCCTTATATTTCTTGACATTTGATATGAATATATTTGATAAGTTTGCAATCATGGTTAATTCACTGCACATGTGCAAGCATTTTTCGAAGGCAGAAAATGGTGTAATTAAAAGAGAAAGTTTGTTCTCTCACACCGTTTGAAAAGAATCGTAGCGTGTGAGAGAGGGGGGTTCTTAGCGACTAAAAAAGGAGACCGTAATAAAATCTGAGTTTGATGATATAAAAGTTAACCAGTACAATGTTTCTTAATGCTATGCCCAAGCTGGCAATGCATAAACGATACTGTTTTTATCGTGGTGGACTTTAGATTCATCCCATTAGATAGAGCACTCTTATCATGATATATCACATAAGCCATCATCTCGCAAGATATGTTTTAGCGCACAGTTTTACAATGCAATTCGCACCTCTTTTAAGTAATCCACGAATATGTCATGAATAATTGTTTAACTTTGTAAATACAAAAGAAAGAGGGACAGATCATCAGCTGCTGTCTACGAGAGATGAACGTGTTTAATGACCAGGAATTTCTCAAAGGATATTGAAAAATTTGTTTACATTTGTATAACTAGTATGATTTCCTTTCACAATTTGCAAAATATTCTGAAACTTGTTCTAACGGAACGATCTATCGCTTGAGTTTCCTCATCTGCTACGACTTATTTTAAAGAAGAGTTGATCAGAGCCGTTCAATAACAGAAGTTCCTTGTTTGTTAATTTTCATGACGGTTAATAAGTGTCAGCAAAAATATGAAATTATTGCACAAAATTTAGAGTATGTTCGATGGAAAAGTCTTCCATCTATACCAGCACTAACATAAACTTTTAAGTAATCAAACTTACATCTTGTAAAGAATGTCTAAAATTAACTTTTTCTTGCATTCTATTCTAATTAGTTTACATATTTGATTTTCTAGAACATGGAACAAAATTCATTTGTTCGAGTGGTAAGGTTAATGTTTCATTAACTAATTTCACTACTATTATTGAACTCACTGCGCATTTTCGGTTAGATATAATCTACAACCCGCAGAAATAAAACAAGTGGCTATAATAGTATTATTTTGTGCGTCATTCGATTTAGCTCAGAGTTATAGGCTTAATAATCCTTTAGATGTATGATTTTAAAGAAAAGAAATACTAAATAGTAATAATGGTAAATTAAATAGTCAAACAAAAGCTGCGAAAATCAGTATCGTACTATAGGTCTGTTATGGGAGTCGGAATCTGTTTGCGCAGTGGTTTTCTGTGTTTTGAGTATGCGTCTGCTAAGGAAGGAGAAGAAGAAAGAACGAGATTTGCTGCTTTTTTAAGGCCACTCTCCCTATCAGAAATGCATCTCGGTTATTATGAGTTAGATCTCAAACAAAATTTGTATGATATTGATTTTTGCAATTGACTATTTAATTTATCTGCTTACTATCATTACTATTTAGTATTCCTTTAAAATCATACATGCAAAGGATTATCAAGCCTATAGCTCTGAGCTAGATCGAATGACGTACAAAATAATACTATTATAGCTACTTGTTTTATTTCTGCGGGTTGTAGATTATATCTAACCGAAAATACGTAGTGAATTCAATAATAGCAGTGAAATTAGTTAA